TCTCTCTCTCTCTCTCTCTCTCTCTCTCTCTCTCTCTCTCTCTCTCTGTGTGTGTGTGTGTGTGTGTGTCTGTCTGTCTGTCTGTCTGTCTGTCTATCTTAGGAAATCCTTATAGCCATCTCATGAAACTTACATCTTCAGGACATGTTGATGACAATCAAGGGTCATAAAATAAGTCCTCATCTTCATAACAACACTTTGAAAACCATATAATTTTGTGATCTTTGAGTTTATTCACAACTCTGAAATGTATTCTCAATTTAATACATCAGAATTTGTAAACACCTTTGAAATAGTATGACTTGACTTAGAAAAATAAATGTATAAGAAATGTAAGCCCTGTGTCTCCTTAATAAGTGTTCCAGGGTAATAAGGCCATGGAATATTCTGAAACAATTAACTCAAGTGTCCCATAAAATACCGAATTATTCATATTTAACAAATGAATGAACTGAAGGAACTCAAGCCATTGCTCAACAAAGGGTCGGACAATTGGGAAGTATTTGTTTGTTTTAGGTGAAATTAAATTTCTTCACTCATCTTTATAGTACATTTAGTTTTTTTAATTAAAAGGCAGCAAGTACCTTTGAAAAAAGATTTTTGATTTCTTAGCTTTAGTTCCCATAAAGTTGCACTTTAAATTCTATCAGCAACACCGTACACAGCCATTAGACCTCTGCAGTCACAGCCTGCAACAATAAAAAGGCAGGTGAGGGGGAGCATTTTCTGCAAAATAGTTATTTGCCCAGGCAAAGAAAGCCTGCAGGAGAAGGCTTTCATGAGAGGCTATTTTCTTTACCAGTTCCTAAAACAGAGTTCAGAGTGGGAGGCAGGAATGATGGGTTTTCACTGTGATAAGTTTCTGATGCCCTTTATGAGCAACGATCTCTGTCTACCTGAAATAAAGGAAATGAATCAAAGCAAACTTTTAGTAATCCCAGAAGGACCCGCAGTGAAATTGCCCCAGCTGTTACCTTATATAGACACCTTGACACAGTTCGCTCTTGTACAAGTACTCAGGGACGATCATTACTTTCCAGTCGTCTCGTATAGAGACCTACTTTATAAGATGTCGGGGAAAGTTAATGTACTAAGTCTAGAGACGTCTTTCTGAAATGGGAATAGCCTGTCACTCTCTTCCTGTAGCCCTGCTAACTAACTCGTGCTGATTTGTAGGTCCCTGGGGACGGTGTATGGGAGATGACTGTGGACCAGGCGGCATCCAGACCCGGGCTGTGTGGTGTGCTCACGTGGAAGGCTGGACAACACTGCATACGAACTGCAAGCAGGCTGGGAGACCCAGTAACCAGCAAAACTGTTTCAAAGTGTGTGACTGGCACAAAGAGTTGTACGACTGGAGGCTGGGACCCTGGAATCAGTGTCAGCCCGTGATTTCCAAAAGCCTGGAGAAAGCTCGAGAATGTGTGAAGGGAGAGGAAGGCATCCAAGTGAGAGAGATAACCTGCATCCAAAAGGACAAGGACATCCCCGCAGAGGACATCATCTGCGAGTACTTTGAGCCCAAGCCCCTCCTGGAACAGGCCTGCCTCATCCCTTGCCAGCAAGACTGCATCGTGTCTGAGTTCTCGGCCTGGTCCGAGTGCTCCAGGACCTGCGGCAGCGGCCTGCAGCACCGCACCAGGCACGTGGTCGCGCCGCCACAGTTTGGAGGCTCCGGCTGTCCCAACCTCACCGAGTTCCAGGTGTGCCAGTCCAACCCCTGCGAGGCGGAGGAGAGCATGTACAGCTTGCAGGTCGGGCCATGGAGCGCATGCTCTGTGCCCCAACCACGGCAAACCAGGCAAGCCAGGCGTCGTGGCAAGAACAAAGAGAGGGAGAGGGATCGAGGCAAAGCCGTGAAGGACCCAGAGGCCCGTGAGCTCATCAAGAAGAAGAGGAACAGAAACAGACAAAACAGACAGGAGAACAGATACTGGGACATCCAGATTGGGTATCAGACCAGGGATGTGATGTGCACGAACAAGACTGGAAAAGCTGCAGATCTCAGGTAAACGTTTATTACTAGTAACATTACCAGTCTCCTGTCTGCAGATACAGCAGGGACTTGAGACTCGGTGTACTGACTCCTGTAACAAACATGTGACAGACAGTCCGTATGCAAGGCTGTTGAGCTTTTGTGGATTTTCATGCTGTAATTTTTATTTTGTCCATGAGTAGGCCCCACACTACTTTAAGGTTTCTTAGCCCAGGAATGATTTTCTATGACAAAATACAGCTTCTTGGGCAGGGAATATAGGGCAATGGTGGAGCATTTGCCTAGTGTATGTGAGGCCCAAAGTTCAGTTCCCAGCACCACAAAGAAACATGGAGACTGCTTCTTTAAGCCATCGGTACTTTTTTCCTCTCCAACAAAAGAAAGTAAAATTACTCGGATCTTGGAGTATTGGGATTTTGAATACAGATATTTATCTGAGTGAGTTAACAGAATAAAGCACACTTGTAATCTCTCCAAGTTTATAGCATTTTCAGAATTACCCTATAAACAAAATCTGCTCTTAACAAGCACCTGGGGAACCATACCTAAGAATAATATTCTTGCTCGTTTTATAAAACAAAGTAACTCTCTCCAGAGAAGAAAACCAGAAGCAGCGGGAAATCAGGTAAGTAGAGGGTATTTAACCAGGAGTGGCCTGGCTTTGAAAACGTAATGAATTGGCAGCAATTTCTAGATGGAAATTATTTGGCAGATTATCTTCTCGTCTGTAATGACTACATTATGAAAAGCTACCTCATGTATGATTCATTTGTTGTGAAAATGGTGTTCGTTGAGAATGACAGGAAGGCTATGATTTCTCTGGACTGGCTAAATTTTGCTCTTGGATGAGCCAGACCATCTGGGAGGGGCTATCTGGATCATTTGCATAATTGCCTTTCCTGAAATATTTATGAAGTTATGATTTGGACTCAACCAAAGAAATTATAGCATCATCACTCAGAATTTTATATCGTATTTATTGTAGAATTGGCATTGGGTATGCTATCTCCTTTATCATGCAGTCTGTTCTCTTGATTAAAAACATAAGATAAATTTCACTGATGTCTCAACCCATATGCCTTGGTGGAGCAGCTGGAGTCTGTTTCTTGTTGCCCCTGGATATCTTGTGAAAGATTACAATTTCCTGTTTACTTTGGAGGTTGGAAACCTAAATAGGATTGTGTGGCATGCCTGCTGTTTTCTCGAATAACCCACTGTCTTTATTTTTTTATTCCTCACCCTCCCTACCTTTACTTCACCTATTCTTGTTTATTAATTTCATTACTATGGATTTTCAGATACAGGTGAGACCTTTTTTGGAAGGTCATAGCTTAAATGAATGAGTAAATAAAAATGAATGATCAATTCTTCTGACAAAAACTTTCTCTCATATTACCATTGTCTGGTTGCCTTTTGTTTCATTTCAACATTTTATGGCACTGGATACTGACCCCCGGGCTGTGTTTATGCTAGGCAAGCACTCTTCCATTGATCTCTGTGCAGTCCTAGTTGCTGTCTTGAAACTATTTGCCACTGTTCCTCTTTCTGAAATCATACAATTGCATTGCATTTCAGTGGCACAGTAAATTACCCAGTGCTCCTCTTTAGCCTCTTCCCAATTCTGTTGACTTTGCGGAGCGTGTCTGTTCTCCCCACCTCCCTTCCCCAGGTTCACTTCATGTATGTATGTGTATTTGTACTTCTATACTGTACGCATTTTCAATCCACTTCCTATTTGGTTCTTTTCTAACAGTCTTTATTCTGATGATTCCCCAGGCTTTTTCCCTGTAGTAGTATGCTTATCTTGGTTGCTTGGCTCCCACTAAGTAATTGAATGAGCCTCTAACGAGCAACTTTGAGCTGACTCCCGCTGTCACTGGGTTAGCATGCTGTAAAGGTTTAATTTAATGGTGACTACTGGATTAAAAGTGTAATTAGGCTATTAGCTTCCATGCATAAAGCCTAATATTCACATCAGTTGAGGAATTAAGCAAATATACTTAAAAATGTGGGGATTTTTTTTTAAATCAGCCACTTGCATCCTTGTAGAAACACCATACATGACTATCCCAGTATGGTGATAACTACATAAATATTAGGAGGCTACATACATAAATTCAATATGTCCTAAAATAATCAAATGGCTGGTATTTCTCTTCAATGTGAATTAGTAGGCTGTTAATAAAATTAATTCTAGACAAAATGTCATACAAATCAGGTCTTTTGAATACATATTTTCCAAACTTCACACCACTTCATCAAGGAAGCCAGGACAGTAAGGTGTGAATTGGCATGGAGCCACAAATCAGGGATTTAGTCACTGAATTTAAAATATCTTCTATCTCATTGCATCTTTATGATATGAGGCTAAATAATCATTTAATACGATTAGCAATATTCCAGTAGCTAAAAGAACTTAGCTAAATAGAACTAAAATTCTTTGAGAACTTCTCTATAGGCCAATAAAGTGTTTCAAAGAATTACTGCTGAATTGCCCAAGTTAAAGAAAACACATATGCCCTATTTTCAATGACATCATAATCAATAAAGATGGTAGATGCAAACTACAGCTCCTTTTTTTTTTCTACAACAATAAGAAAATCACAGTCTCAAGTCTCTATTGATCCAGAAGTTTTGGATCCAGTGGGGTAGTCAGATGTAACAGAGACAGGACACTTGAGAAGCCATTGTATCTTGCCATTTCATGAACACTTAAAACCTCCAGAGAAGCCTGAATTCTCTGTGGGGTGAAAATGTTATAGAAATAATATGCCTTCCCAGTGAGAAATCACTCTGCTAACTTCGAGATTAATAAAGGTAAAAGCTTTTTAATATAGCATGTTCTGGCTCTGGCTAATGCCCAAAGTGTAGATGGCCTCAAATAGACTTTACTGACTTAAATGCATACACCTTTGGCTTATGCATTCCATATATACTGTCATCCTTAAATCTTTCGGGTCCAATTCCCAAGTTACACTTTAAACATTTAAACAGAGGCTGCAAGAGGCTGCAATTCTGTCCATGTAGGTGAATGGAAAATTTACACAGCAAACATAATGTCAGAAATATTTCTTAAGTACACCAGAGTTCTTCTTTTTAAACAGTTCTTACCACGGTCGTCCTGCCCACCTTTCAGAATTACACTTTCTCTGATAAGAGCACAGGGGACTTAATGGCATACTAGAATTTAATGATGGTTGTGGCCATTTTTTTGCCCACTTGAGCTGCCTGTTAGCAGCATGTTCTTTGATATGGGGATGGACCTAATGGCTGGTTGTAAATCAGGATTATCTCCTTTTGGTACAGGAATGGAGCCTAATTGGAGGTCCATCTTGGTGCATGAACATTAGCAGAAACTTTCTCAGCAACCTTAAACTTCAACTGTAGTACAAAGTCAGTGTCTAACAAGCCTGAATAGCACACTACTTATCTTCTTGTCTTATTGGAAGTAGTGCACCTTAGCCAAACTCTACTTTTTATCATTCAATATTTCCTAAGCAAGTTCATTAGTAAATCCTTTATAGCATCAAGTTTCTCCTGCATCAAAGAGAATGGCATGTCCTTGCTATATATAGCAGGGTCTGGAATGGAAACAAATGATTACTCGAACACCCTTGGGTTGTGTTTAAAAATTGTTAGAGATAAGCCTGAACAAGAAAACTCACCTTCAGTCTGCAAGTTGTCAAATGTTGCACATGATAGCTCTAAGAAGAAATTAATTATCAATTCACTTACTTATCATAAAATTTGGCCCATATCCTCAGGACAAAATAAATGCAAATGTCATTTTGCTGGAATATTATAGGACCTTGGCATCTGGAAATCATCACATTTTAAGCATATTCCCTTTTGAAACAACTAGGTGGGCATACCAGATTCAGTGGTAAAGATTGGTGTTGTGTCAATCAGTGGGTGAGGCCATGAAAATTACTTCACTTAGGAGAACACAAGTTTCTTCTTGTGCAACAGTGACTTTTAGCCAGGTTTTAATAGACTCTTATTCAGACTAGGAACTGATGAGATAGTATGTCAAGCATTTCTCTAGAAAATATTGAAAAACAACATGGCCCAACATCAGAAGGAAAGTCAGTGTTCCAACAGGAGCTAGGACATTAAAATATTGTGAAGAAAAGGCTCAGTGCCAAGCAGCCACCTCCAGCGTGTAGTGAGCAGAGTCCTAATTTGAGACTTCTCTAAAAGCCACTTCACTCTGGAATGTTGCTTGCTGAAGTAAAGACTCCTATATGCATATTAAGTCGCAAGTTTCAGGAGTGGCTAGGAAGTGTGCTGTAAGTAAAACAAGACACATGTAGTGGAAGTACTTGACCACTTTAGAAAATACCTTCCATTTAAATGCACTTTGTTTTGTCACATTTTCTAACAAAGGCAATTAGTTGTAATTACAAGCCCATTGGAAACACTGCCAAGAATGGAGGGAAATTCAGCCCAAAAGATTCCCGAGGGACTAAGAATGAATTTGGGTTTGAAAAAGGATTTTTGGTGGTTAAATCAAAAGAAGTAGATTCAGCCAGCACTGGGGAAATTGCTTAAAGAAAACACTTATGTACAAATAAAAGGTAAATAAATAAAGACCAGAATAACACAGTAACAAACATATAGAAATACTGACACACCGGACTGTAGAGCTCTGATTTTTGTTATTGTTTGATTCTTATGTGGCTAGAGAATAAGCCACAGTGTGTCCAATGGCCTGGGGGCGGGGGTCGTGCTAAGGATTCTTAGGTGGCTTTCTGGTTATTGTTTTCAAAGTCAGAAACTGCAACACAACCTTTCTTACCTTTAATTGTTAATCAGAAAGTTATATCGCTGTTGAGCAAAATCAATGTCTTTGTGTCTTATTCTCATTTTACCTTAAAATACCAGTTGTTAACTGATCCAGTATTTGTTTTTAATGTTGCTTTCTAGAGCGATGATATAAAACTTGAATACAAGCTCTGGGTGGTGCTGGATGCCTTTTTAATCCCAGCACTCAGGAAGCAGACAGGCTGACC